CTTCCATGGTGGGGATCAGGTCATATCTGGCTAGGACGGCGCCTGGTCCATTCTCTTGGTGTATTCCTCCTCATTTTACATTGCTCCTCTGATTTGGCGTGTCCTGATGGGGGCTGTATGCCCGTTCCAGTTCTGTGGAGACACAACCAACACTCTCCCCCCTGCCCCCCGCCCCATGGGCCAGTGCCCTGTTCCCTCCGTGCCACCAAACCAGTTCCCTCAGCCAGGGAGGATCTATTAAGTTCCTGAAGGAAAAGAGAGTGGTGTGTGTGTGGTGTGTGTGTGGTGTGGTGTGCTGTGGTGTGGTGTGGTGTGGTGTGGTGTGGTGTGCGCGTGTGTCCAGTACCAGGGCCACCTGGTCAAGTTTCAGGAGTGCCTTGAACCACGCTTCCGTCAGTGCAATCGTGCCCGTTTTTCTGAACTCTTAATGTTGCTAAGAAACTGACTTTCAATAATGAATCTACATGGAGTTACAATTCTTTTTAAAAAGCATAACAAAAGAGATAGAGAGAAAATATTGTTAAATATTACTAAACGACTGAGTTTAAATGAAGGCTACGTTGAAATGAGTGCTGATATGTTTATAGATTTTCTGTATTTTAATATTCTGAAAATAAATATTTAATGAAAAACAGTATTCTATCAAGCATCGTTATTAGTTATTAAGTAGACATGTAGTTTTTCTGAATAAGTTCCATTTATCATTTTAAAATAGAACTCTATTAACTTATTATCATATACAGACACAAAGATGTCTCCCCTTTACAAATATGTGCATGTCACTTACTTGGCTGATTTTATAAAGATAAAACCCAGAAATTAGTTGAAAGGAGGGAGTGGTGCGGCCAGCAAAATTACATAATTCAGAAATTATGGTAATTGAACAATGATGTAGATTATTTGCACTCACAGGAAGGAGGGTGATGAATATTTCTTCATTAAAACTGTGATTCATGTAGTATTACAAATACATATATGAAGACATTAAATGTTTCTCACATAGCAATCAAAGCTCATTATTTCAGACTCCAGGGTATAAAGTAATATCATAAAAAAGGCACACGTTTAATCTTAAATGTATCTAAATCACACAAAAAATAGCTTTGTAGGAATAAGCATGTTCAAAGATAATCTGCGTAGTGAATAGTCAATTAACTTGTGCTGATTGAAACTTAGACTAATAGTTACTCATTCTCATTAAAATAGAAGCAGGAATCTTTTAAGTAGCGCTGCTAGCATTTTATTATTAGCAAGTGTACATATGCACTCCCAATCCAGCGATGAAGCTGTAGAAGAGAGGGTGGCAGTGGGTGGACTTGAAAAGCCATAATGAGATGGAGGAGGTATTGCGGAGAGATAACTTAAGTGGGGACTCACTTGGGTAATAGCTTCCCCTGGAGAAACGCAGGCAAACGCATAAAAATGTCTGCTCCCTCAGACCCAGTCATTCAGAGTCCTCCTCTGACTCATTCGAGTCTAGGCCATGAACACATTTGAAGAAGGAGAGTGAGTTACTCATTCACGTGGAGCAAACTGTCAGAGGCAAAAGAAGGACTCCATCAAACTAGAAGGCTATGGGACTAAGGTAGGTATCTGAAGACCTTTTTCTGGAGTTAAGGAGGGAGAATGGGAAAGACCAGAGCCACAACGACACCAATTCATTTATTCTTGCGACGGTCCATCTCTCTCTCACACTGCCATCAAGTCCGTTCTGACTCACAACAACCCTATAGGACAGGGCAGGGCTGCCCCTGTGGGTTTCCAAGGCTGTACACCTTCACAGGAGCAGAAAGCCTCATCTTTCTCCCTCGGAGCAGTTAGTAGGGTTGAGCCACCAGCCTTCTACAGCGGTGAGTTCTTGAGTTTTCGCGTTTGAGTAGAGCGGACAGTAGCTTCTGGGAGAGAAGTGTGATAAGGGCCTCTGGAACTCTTCTTGCCTCTGACTGTACTAAGGAGTTCCGAGCCCTTGCAAGAAGATTTCATTTAACCTCCGGCCCTGACTACTATAGTAGACTACTTCTTTACCCTCATTCCAATATTGTGTATGCTAGATCCTGGAAATGCAAAATTGAAAAACAAGTTTCAGAACTAACTGACCTCATAATAGAAACGCTTAGACTACTTTAAAAAATAGAAATGCTTAGATTACTTTTCAAACAGAGGAAAGGAATACTCTGGGAGAATGTATCTCCCAGGTGCATGCCTGGTTTGGGGGCACATGGTGAACATGCCCTCGGTAGAACCAGTTTTCTCAGGAACACAAAGGAGATGGAGGAGCTTCTTTGGGATGTTTAACGTACCTGTATCTCAACCTTTCATAAGAACAACCTTTATGAAGCACTCTAGTAGTTATTTTGTTTTGTTTCAAGAGTGACCTTGAATTAGACAAGTAATCATACTAGTTAAAGCAACTTCTCTAGTTGGGCAATCCCTGATCTCCAACCCTGGATTATTATTAATGCTTAAGTAAATAAAAAGAGAAGCTGAATGATGTCAGTGGGTGCTTACTACTTTAAGAATAGCAGAAGGAATATCCTTGGGGTGGCAGAATGGAGAGGCCAAGGGACTCGGAGATAAATTGAAAACCAAACCCCAATGAAAAAGCAAAACCCACGGCCACAGAGTTAATTCCAACTCACAGCGAACCTACAGGACAGGGAAGGACTGCCCCGGGGTCTGAGGCTGCAACTCTTGGTGGGAACAGGAAGTCGCATCTCTTTCCTGGGAATGACTGGGGAGTTCGGACCACTGACTGTAAACAGCCCAATGCATAGCCACTTACTGTGCCACCAGACCTCCTTAAAACTTCTCCAGAAAAATGGCCCTCAAGGGGAAAATTCACCCCATTTAAGAAACATTGACTTAAGACTTGATCTAAGAGTTTTCCAGGGGGATACTGAGCCCTCTGGTGACTTTGGTTACCAGAACCTGAGCACTTTTGTTTTGTTTTTTCTCCATCTGTTATTTGGTTGGAGTCCACTTGTCCTTTTACATTACTAGCATCAGGGCCTGTATTAGTCTGGGTACTTAGGAGAAACAAATGCACAGCAACTCATAGATAAGAGAGAGTTTTATGCAAAGAAAATGTGCATCACGAAAACACCCCAACCCAATGTTGCCCAAGCCCACAAGTCCAACATTAACCCATTAACCCTACACCAGTCCACAAAGTCCTCCACCTCACAAAACAGAGGCAATAATGCCGACTGCAGGAGGAAAGCTGAGTCAGTGAATGTGTAAGCATCTCAGCACTGGCACGGGTCTCCACACGGCTGCTCCAGCACCCAGGGCTGCATCGGGATAAATCCATGCGGCTTCTCCTTGGGGATGTCTTGTAGGAAGTCAATCTTGCAAGCTGAAGCAGGGAACTGCTAAGGCAGCTGCACCCGATGCAACCATCACAAAACAAGAGACCCGAGAACTAGAAAGGCGAGGCTTCACCACCCATTTATCCCTCCGCCTTTCAACCAGCACCACATGTGATTATCGGCCAGGCTGGCACAATTAACTAACTCAGGGCCCCTCTTCTTCCATAGCACTTTGGAAGACAGTCTTTCCTTAGCTTCTCACCTTTCAGCAGACCAGGGTGTGGAAGCACTTAATAGTTTTATGCTTTTACCAGAATTTTCCTGCTAGTGGCTAAAGGGACATAGAAATGGGAATTTCAACTATAAATCATTTCGAAACATTTGTCGTATTAAATCTGTGATGCATCAGAGGTCAAGGGGGATAGAAAATAGCTGCCGCCTACCTGCTCAGATCCTCCCTGCATCCTACCTCTTCTGCCCATTCACGAGGCCGTGATAAGTTTTTTCAGTTCAGTAAAGTCTCTCGCCTTTTGGCACCTTTCATGGACCAGAAAATTATATATAAAAGAAGCTACAAAATCCAAGCTTTACTCAATACCAACTGTGCCAACCTTTTTAAGCCTCAACTTACAATCCTGAAAAAAACTGACCGTAATACCTTCTGCCCTAGGACATTATCTAGATAATTAATGAGGGGCCATAAGAATGGTTTTGCATCAGTCCCCAACATCAAATAGGTAGTTTTAAATGTTACTGTGTTAATTCTATTATACTGTGAAAACACTGTCAATACATTATTTTCTTCTAGGAAAATGTGCTTTATACAATTTATGTATGTGTGGATTGTAATAAGAGTTGTATGAGCTCCCAATGAAGTGATTTTTTTAAAAATCTTCTAGGATAGTTGAAAAGTACTAAAAAAATAAACCTCATTGGATTCACTCTTTAAATATGTAAACTATAATTTGCATGTGTTCCTTTGGTGGTAGTTAGTTACACGGTCAATTAAAACTGGTGGTTTTTCTCATCTTCATTTCAAAAGGTAAAAAGAAGGAAAAGAAAAAATGTGAAGCTTTCCTTTCAAATTATCTCTCTCTTCCCATCCATTTTCCACCTCCTGCCAGCCGAATGCAGCGAACGCTCTCCAGGTTCATAGCAAATGGGGGTTGGTGACCGCGTCTCAGTAGAGCCTTCCAGCTCCGTCATTTGTAATCAGTCTTATATGCTATTTCATACTGTGTGCCTGCTCACAACCACATGGTTTTAACTGCGTAAAACTCTTTAAGTTTTCTAATGGCAATACTTTTTTCTTAAATTCTCAAATGGCCTCACTGCCCTGTCCACCTAATTCATCTCCACCTAAAAGCACACCCTACAAACAGAATGAAGTCTGTTGTCCCACTATGTTCCCACCGTAGTGCATTTATGGTCTCTTGCAGGATGGGGCACTGGTATAGTCGCTTAACCAAGTTGTTTCTGTTCACCGTACTAGTGCCTGTCTTGCCGGCAGGACTGTTGCCTCACTGAAAGAACAGATATTGCATTCATCTTTTCATGCTGTGTGGTCCCAGCACACTGACTATGACAAAGAATTGAGTCGGTGTTAAAAACCTCTGGTGGCATAAGAGGTTTTTTTTCAAGTAGAAGCTAACTTGTCCTCTATTTCTGTGAACAGGAAGTGAAGTCCCACATATGGCTGCCTTGAACCACACTGGGGTTAGCCACAAAGTCTTTCGCTTGCTCGGCATCCCTGGCCTAGAGGACAAGCACATGTGGATCTCCATGCCCTTCTTCATTTCCTATGTCATTGCCCTGCTTGGAAACAGCCTGCTCATCTTCATCATCCTCACCAGGCGCAGCCTCCATGAACCCATGTTCTTCTTCCTCTGCATGCTGTCTGGAACAGACATCGTCCTCTCCACGATCACAGTACCTCAGGCCTTGGCCATCTTCTGGTTTGGTGCAGGGGAGATCTCCCTGGCTCGCTGCATCGCTCAGCTCTTCTTCATCCATTCCACCTTTATCTCTGAGTCCGGGATCTTGCTGGTGATGGCATTTGACCGCTACGTTGCTATCTGCTACCCACTGAGATACACCGCTATTCTAACAAGCAGCCTGATTGGGAAGATTGGCATAACTATCTTTCTCAGAAGTTACGGCACAATTGTCCCCATCATATTTCTTTTGAAAAGACTGACTTTTTGCAGAAATAACGTTCTTCCACACACTGGTTGTGAGCACATTATCTTGGCCAGATATGCCTGTGATGACATCCATGTGAACATCTGGTATGGATTTTTTGTTCTTATGTCAACAGTGGTCTTAGATGTTATGCTCATTTTCATTTCATACATGCTTATTCTGCATGCTATCTTCCGCATCCCTTCCAAAGATGCTCGTCACAAAGCTCTCAACACATGTGGCTCCCATGTCTGTGTCATCACCCTCTTTTATGGGCCCGGGATCTTCTCAGTCCTCACGGAGCGGTTTGGACGCCACATCTTACCCCATATTCATGTCCTGCTGGCCAATGTCTGCATCCTGGCTCCACCCATGCTGAATCCCATCATTTACGGGATCAAAACCAAACAGATTCGGGACCAGGTGATTCATGTGTTGTTTCCAAAAGAGATATGACTTTGATCATGAAACTTAAACTACTGTTTTTTCAACACTCCAGGTCACATGTGAAGTAGGCTTTAGCAGCTCCAGTAGGTGGATGACAACTGAACCAGGATCGATGGCTCACTGAGTCTTTGTATCAGGAGCATGTCCACAGGGAAGCTGTAGGGTATGCTTTGCAGGGTCTCTGATCAGTAATGAATGGGCAACTTCTGGTAACTCCCAGAGCTTTCTCATTCAGCTATATAAGTGAGTTTACCTTTTAAATCCAACCTAGCTCTCTAACCTCACACAAGTATTTGGAACTAGATGAACTGTGGATGATTGATGAACTGTTCTTTTGTGGTTTGTTTCATGCCTTGATGGAGTGAAGTAGCTCCTATTCTTATCTAGCTAAGGTAGGGCATTGCTTTATGCATTTCCCCCTTCTGTCCTTTCTACTATCAAATTTTTATTTTCCACCAGCTTATTTCAATCTATAAACAATCTGTTATTTTTCCTACGTAGGGGAAGAGAGCAAAGGGAGGGAGGAAAGAATGTACTGTACTTGAATTCCCCTACCGTTTGTCTTTCTCATGCTTCTCTGTCTCTCTCTTCACCTCTCTCCACTTTCTTCCTCTCTCCTCTCTCGCTCCACTACAGTAAAACACCTTGAAAGAGTTGTCTACATGTCAGGATTCAATATCTTCCTCCCTATTTTTCTTTTTTTTAAAATACTTTTATTGGGACTCTTACATCTCTTATCACAATCCATACATTTATCCAATGTGTCAAGCACATTTGCACATATGTTGCCTTCATCATTTTCAAAGCATTCTCTTCCCACTTGAGCCCCTGATATCAGCTCCCCATTTCATTCCCCTCCCTCCCCTGCTGGCCTCCCTCACAAACCCTTGATAAGTTATGAATGACTATTTCCAGATCTTACATCATCCTCCGTTGCCTCTCACACACTTTTCCATTATTCGTCCCCCTGGGAGGGGGTCATAGTTTGAACCTTGTGATGGACTCCCCTTGTCTCCACCCACCCTCTCCTAATCCTCCCTATTTTTCTTGATCTCATTTCACTCATTCTTTTTCCTGCACCATTACACTGCCTGCCTGAGTGGCCTCCACACTGCTGAATACAATGATCAATATTCAGTTTTCTCATTCTTGAAAGGTCACTTGTCTTATCCTCCTTGTCTTACTGTAATCCGGCTGACTGTGCCTTGGTCTCTTTTGATGGGTTTTTCCTCTTTTCTGTGACTATTTAACACTGGAAAATCCAGGACTCAGTCCTTGAAATCCCTACTCTTCCCTAGCTATATTCGCCCTCCAGTCTATGACTGGATTCAGACCAGAATTTCTCAACTTTAGTACTATAGACATTTGGGGATACTTAATTCTGTTGTGAGGATTACTTTGTGCATTAAAATATGTTTAGTAGCATCCATGGACTCTACCAACCAGATGCCAACACCACTCTTCTCTTACAGTTATGATGGCCAAAAATATCTTCAGACGTGCCAAATTTCTATGGGGCATGGCAAATTCCCCATTTGAAAAATTCTGCTTTAGACCCACCAATATGCAAAAAAAATTCCAAAGATGTATCTCCAACCTCTAACTCAAACTCTAGACTAAACACTTCTAACTTTGTACTTAACTTATATACATAGGCATTATTAAGTATTTCAAATTTAATAAAAACTTCACTGTGATTAAATCAATTCTAACTCATAGCAACCCAATAGAAGCTGGCCCTGCCCCTGTGAGTTTCTGAGACTGGAACTCTTAACAGAAGTAGAAAACCTCATCTTTCTCCCAGGGTGCATCTGGTGATTTTGAATTCCTGACCTCACCATGTCCAAATTCATACTCTTACCTTATTCTCAAACCTCCTCTTCCAGCACTTTCCCATGTCATGAAAGACAACTTCATTCTCTCATGCTCATATTATTGAAGTCATGTTTAGCTCTTTCTCTTTCATATTTACATCACTCCAAGGCCTTAAAAGAAGCCCTCATGACACAGTGGTTAAAGCACTCGCCTGCTATGCAAAGTTGATGATTCAAAACCACCAGTTGTTCCACGGGGAAGAGATGCCTTTCTATAAATATTTACAGGCGTGAAAGTCCTATAAGGCAGCTCTACTCTGTCCTCTGGGGTCATTATAAGCCACATCAACTCTGGACTTAGTGACTTGGACTGCCTTCCAAATAGTTTCCTGACTGCCCTTCTTCCAATACCCACTACTACCTATTTGCTTAGCACAAAATTTGGAATAATGATCTTACAATGTAAATCAAATATCCTCAATCTTTGTTGTGTTTTTGTCAAAGGCACTCAAAAGTAAACTTCATAGTCCTTACTAAGAGCTACATGATCTAGTCCATACACTCCGAAGTCACTTTTTTATTGGACATATTTTTTAAGGTACCCTACCGAACTAAAACAGGTGTATTTACGGAACTTATCTGCAGACCACCCCCAATTGCACAGACGTGTATGAACACCTTTTGCGGGTGGCACTGTGACCCACCAGGACTCCGAGGGAGAAAGGTTAGCTCAACAGTCTCGGAAACCCTGTCCAGGGTTGCTGTCAGGTAACATCAAGTTAGTGGCAGTGAGTTTGGTTTGGTTTTAACTGTATGAAATGGTCAAATGACAATACATGTTTAAGCTATTTTCACATAGATTTTAATATGCCCCAAAGAACACATACACACAAAGACTTACATGGGAATGCTTATAATAGCTGTATTTATAATCGCCTGAAAATGAAGATACCATCTACCTCCATTAATAAGAGAATGTTTACAATGTATCAATCAAATATAATGAACTGCTAGAAGGAGCCCTGATGGTGTCGTGGGCCACACGCTGGGCTGCTAAACACCAGAACAATGAACTTCTGATTGTAAAATAATTTCTTTTAGAACAATTCACACAAGACTAGACCCATGGGAAAAAAACCAAACTGACTGCCATCGAGTCACTGCCGACTCACAACGACCCCCTGTGGTGTAGGGGTCACACACTGGGCTGCGATCTGCACGGGCAGTCGGAAGCCACCAGGGCTACGTGGGAGAAAGACACTCCGGCAAGGCGCAGAGGTGTGGAAGAGCAGAGGTGTGGAAGAGCGTGGCACGAGGGAAGAAGGGTGAGGAGTGAGCAAACAATGTCCTCTTTGAGGAACCTATCTTACGGGAGTGAAAAGAGAAACGTTGTTGAACGGGTTATTTATCCCCTAGTATGCTTTTTGCTATGTGGAGAGGAGAATCCTTGAGACCACTCTTCCTTGACAGCAAATAGCAAAACAAAATCCAAATGTGTTGCTCTCTGACTCATAGTAACCCAGTGTGTGTCAGAGTAAGGTTTTCAATGGCTTGCCATACACTACCCAGGGACTAGAAAACAGTAAGAGGGTCCCCCACTCTAGCATTCTCAACACCTACACAGTCTTTCCTGGTTAAAAGAACCATCAGACTTCAGACTACTCAGATCCATGAGTTTCCACTGCCAACATCTGCATATGACTCCTGTATTCATTCCACAGATTTTGTTTAAATATTAAGTACCTTAATTTTTCTTAATTTTATTAAATTTGCTGTGGTTGATAATATACCTGTCAAAAATATACATCAGTTCAACAGAGTGTACATTTACAGTTTAGTTGCATTAATTACATGCAGTTGGGCGACCATCCGCACTCTCCTTCTCAACAAATATTTAATGTGCCAAGAAATATTTTAGGTACTAGATAAAACAGGACAGAAATCAAACAAAAGTTGCTCCCCTCATTGGACTTCTTTTTGTTTGAAAGAATATGACATGTTTATCTCTATATAATGGCACTTTACTACCATTATCATCATCATTAAATGTTATCACCACTCACTTACTTGCTCACTGCCACTGAGTCGATGCTAACTCACAGCGACCCAAAGGACTAGATAGAACCGCCCCTGTCGGTTTCTGAGACTGTAACTCCCAACAGGAATAGAAAGCCCTGGCTTTCTCCCGAGGTGGTTTCAAACCGGTGATCTTGTGAATCTCAGCCCAACAAGTAACCACTATGCCAACAGAGCTCCTTATTAATGTTACGGAGAAGAATAAATTTTAGAAAGGAATTAGAGCACCAGTTGTGCTCTGTCACAGTAATTGGGATCTTAAATATTATGGTTGGAGGAGGTATTGTTGAGAATGTTTTGACTAAGAATCTGGTAGAGGCAAGGGACAAAGTCATGAAGATATAGCAAAGGAGAATCTAAGCAGAATAAATAGCAAATGCAAATAAGAACTTCATGTAGAGTCATTAGATCTTTCTATTAGGGATTGAATTATGTCCTCCAAACGTATACATTGTAAATCTTACCTCTATGCCTTTGGTGATAATCCCATTTGGGAATGAGTTGTCTTTGTTATGTTAACAAAGCAGGATTAGAGTAGGGTTGATTTTGAGTTGATATCTTTTGAGATATAAACTAGTGAGAGAAGTAGAGATTGGTGCCAGCACTCTGTATTCAGACTTCCAGCATTCTAAACTATACGATCACCATTTTGTTGATTAGAACCACCCATTTGCAGTGTTGCTGTAGCAGTTCTAGATAACTAAGACAGCTGTAAGGACTATGGCCCTTAGTCTGCAGTAGCACTTGGTGTTTCGACAAGGATACAATGAAATTCTCTTTTTATTTTCATTATAACACCTTAGACCAATAGGAATTTGTAGAATAAACGTGTTTTTAATTATATAGCGGTGATGGTCACACAATGTTGTGATACCAGAACATTTCAAATTATTCAAGGGTCACTTTTATGGCATGTGCATTACATCTTAACATAAAAGCCATTAAAATTATAGGATGAAAATAAACAATGCATATGAGAAGGTGGGTGGAATGAAGGTAGAGAAGGAACGCCATTAAGAAGGAGTTGAATGATACATGGAAGAAAGATAAGAACTCAGGGTAGGTCTGAACTGCTGGAAGATTAAAGGTTCTTTTAGATGGTTCCTGGAAGGCTGCTGG